CGAATTGGCTGTCAGTTGGCAGGATTGGCCGGGGCTGGCATCCAAAAGCACATGACTTTTAAGGAATTTACAGAAAAACTTTGCAAGAGGACCGCTTACAAGTGCCTCATGTGTGTATTAGATTCGATCCCACGACATGGAGTGGAAAAACTTGCACACCTGGTTACCGTACTCTGGCACTACTACTACTACCGGAGGCAAGCACTCAGGGCCACGACTGCATTACCCAGTCAAGTCAGCTGCCGAGGTCCCACTGTTTTCCCACCACACTTTATCGACAGTCCGTCCAGTTTATCCCACAACACTCGTATGCATGAATAGGTTCGGGTGGAAACAATGACAAATCTCTGATAAACCGCTAAACTCAGTACCACGAGCTACATTGAAAACAAATGAAAATGCAGATGTCTGCCGAGAAGAATATGTTCGCCATATGCAATCTATGCCTTAATCCATCGAGCTCTCCGTTGGGCGGGGCATGGCCCATGAAGTCGCCCCCGGTACTCCGCCCATACAACCAAACACTGACACAAAACGTTGCACGTCTGGGCCCATGTAAACCACGACACTTCCGTGTGGATTGGCTACCCGCCAAACGTTGGCGCAGAAAACAGACAGGCCATTGTAGTATGGCATCAAACCACGCATAACCCACAGCGGCTTTCAGCAGCAGTACTGCTTGGTGAATGTGACCAGCCGTGTACTCTGTTGCGCATCTCTGGAAAAACAGGCTCTGATAGCTTGCACCACCCTGCACCCCAAAAGGCGGGTTGACAAACACATTGCCCATCCACGCGTTGCACTCCAACAGACCATCGGATTCCATATCGTAATACACTGTCGCCCCAACACGTGTGTTAGCAGCCGCGGACAAGCATGGGTCCAGGTCGATCCTGCCAGGAGTGAACACCTCGCGCACCAGCTTTATGATACTCAGTGGGGTGAACCACTCCGGACTCTCACTGGAGAGAAACAGGCGCACATTCCCACCCCCTCCGCTTCGAACCATATGGACTCCCTCACCAGACTCGCTATCGCTGATATCCATGTCGCCACGTCGGGGCTGACGATGCGCTGTGCCTCCGGATCCATGTTGGGACCAACGGTGCGCGCTCCAGGTGCAGGAGTGGGTGAAGTGCGCGGTAAGATGCGGCGCCCACTGTCTACGGCATTGGGCTGCTGCTCTCGCCGACGTGTGCGCCTGTGCTGAAACTGGCTGTAGAGGCGCTGATACTCATCCTCTGCCGCCTCGTCCGACATGCCATATAGATGCATGCGCATGTCAGGTGGCCAGGCACAGCTGACGTCTCGCACTCCAGGTGGTGGCATGGGCCGCGCGACAAGGCCACCCTGCTGGGTGAGCCGCTGTGTCTCTTGCTTGCACGCCATCATGTGCTGGCGTGTTTTGACGTGGTTGATAATATTCTCGATGTTGCCAGTCTTAGCACCGATGAACCACCCCCTGATGCCGCCGCTGATGCAGCATGCATATGGGTCTATACCGCCAAGCTCTGACCAGTTTGTTTTGAACTCGCCTATACAGGGTTGTAAAACAAGGGGGGCATATCTGTTGTCATATGGTATGATGTTTCATAGACGTCGGTATGTATAACATTATGCCATTGGTGGGTGGCGTGCGGTGGGTCCCTCCTTTCTAGGTTGCCCACTCTTCCCTACCACACATCTCACGTCGCCACTTACCAGTAGCACCACGCGACTTGACGCGGGGTGGCACATCCTCTGCTTCGGTGATGCCGGCTGGTGCACTCATCGGGACCACAGTTCCGCCGCGTCCTCGACGGTGCCAGTCTCCGCGTCCCTGTGTCCCTGATCCTCCACGGCCCCCTCCGATGCCGTTTTGATCTTGAACAAGAGGGATTTCGCGTCCGAGACGGTAAGGCCCGGTACATTCCCTCTCAGTGCCATGGCGGCGCGAAGCGGGGAGAGCTGGAAATCCTCTGCAATGAAGGGCACATTGTCTTTCAAAACACCGTTCGCAAAGTTTCCGGTTGTTCTCGGCACGGCACGGGGACATCGCCGCCCCACGTCTCTAGCACGGACTCGCGCTTTTCTCTCTGTGATCAACAATCTAAATCTCTCACCTCGGAACAGTTCCCATGCTTCACCAACGGAGTAGACGCCGAGAACTTCTTCGAATTGACGACGCACAGCATCCACCCGTTCATCGTCCCCGTCCAGCACATCGTGGAGACACATCGCGAGAGCCGCGACATCCGACTATAGACACAGCAGAGAATTGAATAAACCCCGAGTGAAGGCGAATGGCTGCAAGTGCACCATGGCGCATTTGCATGGTTGGAAGCCACAAAGCAAGAAAGGACATACCGCGTCATTTGGATTTCGTGTCAGCTGGTCTCGAGGGTCTCATCTTCCGCAGTGTCCTCCAGGGCGACATCTATAGCGGCCATTTACTCGCCACTCCTACCCGAAAGTAACCTATCTTCTATGTAATCAACGCTAAACGCTGAAGTTGGGTAGGCATGTAATACTATTGTAAGATTATCGACTGTGATACGCTCGCAACCCATACTTACATGCGCACCAAACTCTTGTTGTACGGAAGCGTGGTGTATGCATTAATTCGTGACAGTGCGCGGCGCTGGAAGTGCTTTTGGTATACTTATACATCTCTATGCCGTTGTTGAGCAATATCTAAGGCGTGATCCTTTTAAAAAGCTGAAGGTATTTAGACAGTAGGGAAGCATTTCTAAAAATCTCGGTAAACCATTGTTATAAGTATGCCAGTTTATATTATCACCATAGGTTCTTGTGTCGAACGGTGCTAAATGAACCATGGTGCATGCATGAAGGTATTCGGGGCGGAGAAGTCTCCGGCCTCTGCT